GACGCGAGCGTGCCGCACACCGTCTTCAGAGGGCAAAGCGAGCTGCGCTGCCGCCGCTGCCGCGCGAGAGCCCGGGCGCAGCTGGGAAGCCCTGCAGCGAGTCAGACCCGCTTCGCCTCCGCAGGTCCCTCCCGCTGGAAACGATTCCCCTGAGCGCATTCACTCCGCCCCGGCTCGGCGCTTCACAGGCTTCCAAAAAGGAGAGTCAGGAGGAACTGGCCGCAGCGTTCAGCTGCGCAGCTCACCGGCAGGCTGCTCTGGCTTCGATGGGTCCCTTGGCTACGCTGGATCTGCGCTTTTCTGGCCTCACCATCCACATAAACATGCTCTCCTGTGCTAACAAGTCTGTAAGGAGTCTTCCCTTTACAGGGTTTCTCAGTGCCAGCACACACGCAGCTCCGCTTAAATATAGTTAGTTAGCACTTCGTGTAGTCTAGAATAAGCTTATTATCTGAACTAATTTTTTGTTGCCTTCCGTGGTTAGCTTTACACACCGGAGGTTCACAACAAGCTGCCATCCACTTCAAGGAGCTCAGAGTCAAGTCCTTTACCAGCGCAATTTGAACACGGAGATGAAAAAGTCAGTTCATATTCAAGTATTAGTAAATGACAGACTTACGATAAGGAAGCAAGCACCGATCATGACAGCTTTCATTTTTACATCAAGGTCCATTGGGAATGTGATTCCAAAGTTATCTGCATCTGTAAAGGCTTCCTTCAAAAACCCAGTCCACTGCTTAGAAATCCTCCCAACAGTAGAAGTCTCATCCACAGACTTTACCTAGTTTAATATAAAATTTAAAAAACCAACAACATCAAACCTGTCATTCGTAATATTCCCAAATCCTTTTCATGATAGATCCACTTGAAAGCTTCAGATTGTGTTATTTGAATTAATGCAGCCACTGAATGCAGCTGTTCGTACCAAAAGGCAACCCTGACTATCAGAACGTCAGTCTTAAGAGGCACCAACATGAACTTAATTCTAAATCTGGCTGTGGAGTTCTGTTTTAATGGTGTTGGAAGACAGCTACCACACGCACACATGCACGCACGCACGCACACTCTGCTAGAAGTGTTGTCTCTTAGCCAAGAGAGTGAATTAGTTTCTCCTGCCATGTATCAGGAACTGCTCAAGTGAAAATTAAACAAATTACATTCTTCTGCTCCAAAGCAGAGCTTAGCCCTTTGTCAACATTATGTTTCCTAAGGTTAGATACAGTCTTCAGGGTCGTGTGAAAGACTAGTCCCCAAAATAAAATGATGATAAATTTGCTTTAGTAACTATATGCAACATTATTTTAAATATTAAATGGTAGACTAGTATATCTACTGCTTCACGTGTACGAAAATGATTATGCATTAATCACTGTTATTTTTAAGTAAAAGTTATAACTCTTCAGTCATTCAAATATGTATTTATGATTTACTTGGTCATTGAATTATTAAAGGATTAAATGAGTGGTTGTAGGAAGTCATTTTAATAAATAACCAATACAGCTGAGAACAACATTTTTTTGTTAGGGCCTAACATAACAGATTCAAGGAGATTTTGCTGCTAAGTATTTCAATTAAGACATTTGTGTGTGACCACAGGGAATCAGTCTCACTGATCACAGATGAGTGGCTTTAAGATACCATTTCCGGAAGTTTGTCTGGCTTATCTAGACTAATCTAGGTATCTAGAGAAGTGATCTAGCGTTAAAAGATTATGTACTAATTATTTATATACGCAGCTGACAGGTAGTAAGTCGAGACACAAACTACTATCAAACTACTACCTGAAAGAAGATACATACAATTTTTAGCATTGCATACCTCAAAATTAATGTCCTCGCAACAGCTGCAGACAACACATGGGCCACTAATTTTCAGTATATCCATTCTTTTCTCATCTTGAATGGTAAACTTTGGCAGGCAAGGATGCCAGGTCTGGACAACATAACCAACTGGCGTTCCTGGAGGCGCCTGAACTTCCAGCTTCACAGGAAAAAGAAAACCTCCACGTGAACGTTCATGCTTTCATATGCTTGTTAGACAAAACCCATACTAGCACACAAACCAAGCACAACAGTTTTTCCACAGCAGCCTGGCTTTCCAATGCATGAAGCTGCATGGAGTCTTCTGTGAACTTTTTCAGAAAACTGCGCACAAATTGCAGACCTCATATGCAACTTTTGCCTTCGCTGAAAACAGTAAGATGCTCCTAAGCATGCTGTATATCTACATATATATCTACAGTAGAAAGATCAAAGTCTAGTGGAAGAAAGGCTGTTGAGCATCCTGAAAGCGTTCAGTGAAGACATCACGGATGCAGCTACTACAAATCCCTCAGTAACAGTTCTGAGTAGGCTCAGATTTGAGGCTTCAGAAGTTGCATCACCCCATAATTATCTTAATATTAAAAAAGTTCATCATTTCATGTGTTGAATTTCATTACAGCTTTCACAGCAGTATAGTGAAAACTGTAGCTGTTATTTTATGAAAGCTGTTGCCCAACTGTTACACAGATTTTGGCACTAGCCACAAGTTCCCTGACATGCTGTTGAATCAAATTTTTCAGTACCATAATCAGAAATGGCCAGGGCAAACCTACATATTGCATCACACTAGTGTCTTCCCAGACCCAGGAGACCCACACACAAATCCCACAGATCTCTCTCCCCACAACTTACAGACAAAACCTGACTTGCTTCACCTCGCCTCCTGATTCAAGACAACCCCATCTTAAAACTGCACAGGTGGACCACGTCCCACGTGAGGGAAGACAGCGTGAGGGAGCAACTCACCTCCTGTAAGCAGCAGGGAAAGCAGCATGAAGAACACCGGAGGGGTCTCTGCAGCGTTATCACCTCATGGCCCAGGTTGTCTATAATCCGGAGGGTGAACGGTCGTGATGGTCCACAGCAATTCCTGGTACAGCAGTCAGTGTCCTCTGCTGCAAAGTACACCCTTTGCCCCAGCGTATTCTTGATTTCGTATTTGTTGTTTGTTTCAAAGCCAGTCAAAACTGAAAAACAGGAACAGAACTGTTAAATTCCTGAGATGTGTCTGGTCAGAAAAGTCACCATGCTAACTCTAAAGCCACCCTTTGGGAAGGCAGCCCTCACCCAAAGTCTGTCAGAGGCAGCTACTGGCACAGGGAAGTGGTGGGGAAGGACCCTCGAGCAGAGTGGCCTGATGGAGTTCAGAGAGGAGAAGCAACGTGGAAAGAGCACAGAGATGTCCGTCAGTGCCCTCCCACCAGACATGGATACCTACTGCCAGAGCAAGCGTCACAGTTACAAACACCACAGCATGGAAGATTCCCACAGAAGAGCTGGAGGGATGAGAATGAAAGAAACTTACTGTATTTGGGGGTGAGGCAAGAAAAGGGCTTTAGAGGGCACAAATACATTCAGAATGAGGCGGCCACAAAAAAAGCCTCGCAGGCCAGATTCACAGCAGCACAAACAGAAAGCAAGAGACAAAGCAGAAATTTTGATTAATTTCTCTAACAAATGAAAGTACTCTTCAAAGCATTATGGAAAGAAAATGCAGCAGCATTAGGTGTCTGCCAAGATGAATGGTCCCTTTTATTTCTTCTATCTGAAAGACAGTGATAACATGACTTTGATAGTCTTAAAGTGAACGGAAGAGGGGAGCAGAAGGAAAGCAGTTCAATTCGCTAAAACAGCAGGACTGCCTGGAAACAGGATCGGGGCCGCATGCAGTCTGTGGAATTAGATGGAGTAAGAGAAGACAGAAAAGATCTTTAAGTAGGGAAGAGAGGCAAGTCGAAATCACGTGAATGAATAACACGGGAAGTGTGTGACTTCAGCTATAACTAGCTACCAAGATTATTCAGTTGCATTGCGATGTATCTTTTAAGACATAGAACCTGCTTAAAATCCTCTGCCCTCCTATCTTCTCCTTCCTCTTCTCCACAACCTCTGCAGGAATTGAGACAGTTAACAGAGACAGGAAAGAGAAAGATGGCAATCCACCTTAAATACATAGTGTCTAAGAAAGTCTAAATTTTACCACTCTTGGAATTATTAGATTTAAACATTTCTCTGTTATGAATACTTTTCACTTACTCTCAAGAAGTTCAATTTGCTGATGAATTAGTATCTGGTCAATCTGTTTGTGGTTGAAAAATTAAACAGAATAAATAGTTAACAAGTTGTAACTAAGAGAAATCCAGTTTTAAGCAGCACTGCTGTTTCATTTCAGAATGCGGATTTATGGGTCGAGACACTAGAGGCAGATCACCGACCGGTGAAGCTGTGGAAGTGTCTACGTCCCCCCTGCCCTGTCCCCTGTCAATTTGGCAGGGCAGTGTTTGCTCCCAGTGATGAGATAAACTGTACTTTTACAGGACGAGGACATATTCCGTAACGGGTAAACAATTCTTATTTTGCTATTAGCATTCTCTGCATTGTGACGTGACTGGCACCTTCCTTAACAACATTTTGAAGAGGTGTGAAGAAAGCATCATGTCGAAAATTAAGCACCTCTAATGTGCTACAGTTGCCCATATTATATACGTTCATGATATACACCTTGCCAAAGGTATGCATTCCAGCTCACAAACAGCAGCTTCAGAAACAGGAAGGACGTACGATAGCCCTGTGCCCTGGTCCTTCAGCATCTCACTGCGCCGGAGAGCATGCCGTGAAGTGCTGCAGCCATACCAGGCACCGCCGCACTCAAACATGCATCCATCACGTTACAAAAGGCTTCACTTAGCAGCCCAGAAGAGCAACCTATACAGCTGCAACAAAGCCAGATGCTCTTTTTAGCATTTTCACGGATGCAGGCTGCTTCTCAGGTGAATACCTGTTCTTTCGGGAAGGAGGAAGGGTGCAGGTACCTGCGTGAGATATTCCAGTCCAGGAGGGCAGTTGGGAAGAGGAGGAGGGACAGGCATCCAGATCGTCCCCTCCTGCACAATGGGCTGGTTCTGGGTGGGTGGAACAGCAAACCCAGCTGGGACTCCCATGGCCTGTGCCTGGAAGCCATAGGTCCTCGCACCTGCGACACCTGGTGTGGTAGGAGAGATGCAGTTATGAAACACAGATGTTGGAAAAGAATTGCCCCATGGATCTTTGAAAGATTAATTTCTTCGCTATTTTGAAGAGCCTTATACCTACAATACATTTCAGTTACGAATACTACAACTTCCGTGCGGGAAGTTACACTGGATTGGGATGTTCTAATCCCTCCAGACAAAACCAGACAGAATAAATAAATGCATCATTCTTGAATATAGCAGAAATTTTATTCACACAAAGGTAGGCAACTCAAAAATTAGAAATAAATAAATGAAGGTTATTTCTAAGTAAAAAAGACAGAACACCTTAAAATACACCAGAAGTATTGGCATTTACAAGTTGTCACTTGAGCATATGAGGAATTTTAAGACCAAGTTTTCCTGGAATTATACCTTCTACTTGTGTGATAGGAAACGTCCTTTCAGCAAAGTTCATCTGCAGTTTCCAAACCAGATAACTGTGATCTAAAAACCACACTTTCCCATTTGTTTAATGGATTCTCTTTCAAAACTCAGGAAATCCACGACTCCTTCATGGAGGAGGCGTGTAGCGAAGAAGGAAATAGTTCCACGTGTTGAGAATGTCAAGTCTTCGCCAGCTGTGACTCGACAGGAAGCACAAGCTCTCGCGACGCGCTGCAGGGTCCAGATGCTCAGCGCCCCACCAGACGGCACGCGCAGCGCGGCCGTAGCGCGCG